ATCTTCAGACCACAGTAATGTGTCTCTATGTCCAGGACCAAAAGAGGTAAGCAGGCACATTCTTGTACAATAAGATCAGGGAACCTACTGGAGTGCATTCAGACTGCTCTCTCGCCTTTGATTCATTCTCATGTGTAGTAGATCAAGTTCTATAAAGACATTGCTACATCATGCTTTGAAATTCACTGGATGTTCAGATGGATCAACAGAGTACCCGGGCTTACAATGCAGTGTCTGCATGCACCAGAGTTCTTGGAGCAGCAACTCTAAGCCCCTTTCTCTTCTCGCTCACACCACAGAGCTGCCCAGATATCACCTCATAGACTTTTATCATCAGACCAGTCTTCTCCCTTGACTCTGAGAACTGGACACTGTACAGCACCTCGAGGCGCAGCACCACTTGGTTGATCGCCAGTTCCGCATCACCGCAGGGCCAGAACAAATTCATAATCTTCCCACCACCACCCTCAAACCTGAACTTTGGCCATCATTTCCTGTCTCAGCAATTGCATGGCCATCATCCAATGGCGCAAGCCAGGACACAAATCAGCATCTTTAACTCACTCTTATTTTAACCTTTCATATGCAATTTATCGGAAGGTCCTAGCAATTTTGCCCCCTACGTGTCTCTTGGATTGATTGACTTCCAGTTGTCTCTACTGTCACCCCTTTAATCCAAGCATCCATCATCTGCCACATGGACCCCTGTAAGAATCTCCAGTTCATCTCGACTTTGTCCCCCTTTCTTAGGAGCCTCACATGGGAACCAGAGGGATTTCAAATTGTAGATAGATTGTGCTAGCCCAGGTTAGTGCAACAATGGTTTCCTGTTGCCCTAAAGATAAGTACCCAAATCCTCAGCAGTGCAACAAAATCCTGCATTTTTTGTGTGGTGGTTCTAAAATGTGTTCACAAATACTTTGATGCTCCACCCTTCAAACGGTGGGGCCTAGCTTCCCTCTCCTAGAGGGAGGACTATACTTAGTGGTTATCTGCTAATACATAGACTGTGATAGGAGTGACAACAGTGTGTGACTTCTGAGAACTGGATGCTATACAGCATCTCAAGGGACAGCATCGCTTGGCTGACCATCAGGCCAACACCACAGGACCAGAAAAAATTCATAGTCTTCCTGCAACCCCCTCAAACCTGGACCTCTTCCATAATTCCTTATCTCAGTAATGTCAGCAATTGAGACCTCCCTATCACCCAACGGCACGAGCCAGAACTAGGATTAAAAAGTGTTGTAGCTCCCTCCTGGTCCTTCTCTTCCTCCTCTTCTTCCTCCTCCTCCTGTCTCTGCTCTGGGAGAAACCAGCTGCCATGCCATGAGGTCTCACACGGAATGCTCTCGAGAGGTCCACGTGGTAAGGAACGGAGAGGCCTCCTGCCAACAGCCGTGCTAAATCACATAGGCAGCTCTCTTGGAAGCAGATCTCCTAGCACCAATGTGTTCACTGTAACCTTCATGAGAAATCCTGAAACCAGAATCCCAGATCATTTTCTCCTGAATTCTAACCCACAGGAACTGTGAGATCATAAATGCTTGTTGTTTTAAGCTGATAAATGTGGGGTCATTTGTTATACAGCCAGCTGTAGATAACGCAAACAACTTGTCTTAAACTGCTCTTTCAGGCTTGTCTACTTGCTCTCTCCTCCCCCTCTCGATTTCTGAGTTCCAGGCCCTCTGGCTTTCTTAACCAAATCTGACTCATAGTGACCTCAGGTAGGGTTTTGAGACTAAATCTTTACAGGAGCAGATACCTCAGCTTTCTCCCACAAAGAAGCTAGTGGGTTTGAACTGCCAATCTTTTGATTAGCAGTCCAAACTTAATCCACAGAACCACCTCATCAAGTGAAGCCCACTGCCATCGAGTTGATTCCACCTTACAGGGACCCCACATTGGTTCCGAGGCAGCAAATCATTATGAGAACAAATAGCCACATCTTTCTTCCATGGAGAGGCTAGTGGGGTTGAATTCCCAGCTGTGCGGTTAGCAGTCTAACACTTCACCCAGAGCACCACCATGATTTCTTATAACTTTATTTAAACCAAAATAATTAAAAAGCACACACAAACTGCCATTGGGTCAATGCTGGCTCATACCAACCCTATATGACAGAGTGTAACTGTCCTTAGGAGTTTCCAAGCCTGTAACTTTTACAGGAATAGAAAGCCCCTCTTCCTCCCAAGGAGCGGCTGGTGGTTTCAAACTGCTGAACTTGAGGTTAGCAACCCAACACATAATCATTTCTCTTAAGAGTCCCCAAATTCTCTGTATTCCTCAGCCACCTCCTTCCTGTA